GTCAAGTTGGCTTTCACATCATTTTTTTGTACATCAGTGAAGGACCAGAAATCCAGACAAAATGCAGCTACAGACGCCGCATAGGTTTGTGGTTTGATGCCATTTTAGTTTATGTGCACGCGATTGGCATGAATATAATTAACCTAGCTACTTCCTTGTATCTATAGTTAACTATTTAATTTGTTATGATCCATAAAAACTGTATACATGTACCTATGCAGGGGCACACACAGTTTCAAGGAAAAGTGATAGAAAAACAGGAAACATTTTTCTCCATGTATACATGTACATATGTATTCTAACTATTTTTTCTCCATTTTTTTCATTTTTTCACTTGTTTCTTTTCTTCCTTCCCTTTCTGAGATCCTTTTCATATCCTTTATGCATATCTCTCCCTCCCTCTTTTTCTATTATAGTCTCTCCTATATGTCAGGAAGGTTTGAGTCTCTTCACTTTAATGTCATCCTCTTAATTAAATGAATGTGACATGTGATGTTAGTCAGGTGATGTTGTGTAGGTAAGGATCACCAGTGGCTACCTGGTGGAGTGAGGCGAGGTGTGGCCAGAAAGGAAGTTGTGATGATGAAATTAAAGCTATATTATGCTACCTCCTGGGTAAGAATATTAATGTGTCTTTTTAATTAATACTGTATAGCTGAAATTTATATGTATGACATAATTATTTTTATAAACAGCCAATGCCACTTTCATTTTTAATGTGTTTACCCAGTAACCATTTGAAAGAATAAAAATTGTAGTGATAGATTTTTGTTGCTTTTATTTCATGTAAATTTTTCTGAAAATTTGGCACATTTTTCACTGTTGACAACTTGACATGTGTACATGTACACATGTAGCTCCAAAATTTAGTGATGACAATAGTTTAAACATTTTACACAGCATGCTATGTACGTGTACATTACAATACACGTATTTATGTTTTTTTTCTGTATTAAAATTAGTAATAAGTATTTTAGAGTCTATTTTGTCAATAAACCAATTCAATTACACACTCTCAGAGGTTCCCTGTCATGGACTGGTGATATATTATGTAGTGCATAAATATTACAGTAGGACCCATGCACATCTACCAGGAGACTTATTAGACCACACCTAGGAGGTCTGTGGGATTCACTGGTCACCAAATCATCAGCAACTGTTGGCAAGAGGAAAGGAAAATATAGTGAGTTTATGATTTTGTATTGATTCCAAAATCACTTTCATATTTTCTGCTATAATATGTACGTATTGATGGCCTTATGCTGTGTAGAAAATTTCAGCTGTGTTTGAAAAGTCATAGTACTATTTGAGTCATGAGGATTTTAAAAATAGGCCAAAAATACCCAAGGGCCAAGGCTACATGTATATAGCCTATGCTTTTCCCAAAAATGGCTCTGAAATCACCCCAAATTTTTATTACATTTTCTAGTACATAATATGTCCTTATGCTATGTAGAAAGTTTGAGCCGTTGTCGACAAATAATTTTGAGTTATTAGCATTTCTAATGAGCCAGTTCTTAAAGAAACACATAGGCAGTATATAGCCTATTCCTTTTACAGGAAATGGTTAGGAAATCACATTCAAGTTAATTTTACATTTTTTGAATAGAGAGTTTTTACCATTTTTAAACTAATGCAATTTCTGAAAAGTTATTTCAAAATCACTCTTAATTCAGTATTGTTTTTACCTTTGTAACTTAACTGTACATGTACTGTACATGTATCAAGTTCCCTAACATCTGGTTCATTATCATATATTGAGTATAATCATATAATGTATACCGGTATATTTCAATGCATGAAAAGTGGTGTAAGTTCAATGATGGAATAATTCAGAAGCCATTTATATTCCAAAAATATTTTACTTCTTATTATTTCCATCAACCACCTGATCTAGTAAGCAAATTGAAGCATTTGCTGACTTCTTTACTTCTGAATCAACCTTAGCAACACTTCTAACTTGCAAAGAAGGCTCTTTAGCCTTGATTTAGAATAGAATGAAGCCATGGATAGATATGAAGCCACGTGTTCATAACAATTGCACAATACCACATATCTTCCATTCCTTTTTATCTGTGTGTTTAAAATTTCATTATATTTATTTTTGCAATGGATTGCTTCTTCTGAAATTATTAATTAATGCATTGAAATGTGCCTAATATACGGTATTTATATGTTGTAGGGTCTTTTTGGATACTTTGTCATTGGGTTTGAGGTTCCCTCTTATTGTTTGTAGTGTGTACTTCAGTACTAGTCCTCAAGATACACCCACTCACTGGCATCAGAGAATATTCTTCCTCAATGAACCCACACAAGGTCATGCAGGTGGGTCTGGTTTAAGACTAATGTACTCATTACTGTCTATACTTATTAATTGGGTGAAGGACAAGTCAGTGTATTAAATACTGTCTGTCTGTATGTACATGTACATGTACAATGTACATCACTCTTAATTAGGATCTGTTTTGCCTTACGCCTAGGTTTTCCTGCCTGTACTTCTCACTCCAATCATCATTGTGGGGCTTCTGTATGTAGTCTGAACCTTGTGGTCTTTTGTGTAAGAATAGAGGTATGCATTTCAATTAGTATTCTGGGGACGAGAATGCCTTTCATTATTTGATTCAGTGCCTTTCTGTCACTCTCCAGTAGGGGAATGCTCTTTGATGATGTACATGTTACCTTTTACATTTTTTGACTTTTGTTGTTTAAAAATTTAAAGTTATGTTCTGCTGTAAAATTTCATTTACTGCCTTAAAAATATGTTTCTGTTTTCTTCTTTACATTATTCCCATTCTCCTCCAAGTGTCAAGTACTGTTGTCATTGACTGAGTTGGGGTGGTCTCCTTACTTGATCCTATAAATTATTAAATTAATCAAAACAATCTTTCATTGAAAAGCATTGATTCCCTCACCTTTATCTCTCTTTGTATTCATTAAGGAAGATAGGATATCTTGCTTTATCCTCAATTTTAGAGACATTGCCGACTTTAATAACATTACAAATACAATCCATCAGCAGCAGTGTACACTAAATCCATTTTACAACAAATGTATGTACATGTACATTGTAATGTACCAATAATTCTTTCATGCAAATGTTCCTATCTTTTATCCTGCATCTTGATTAATGCCCTTATTAAAACATTCAAGTCTAACATGCATAAGAATATGAGGTGTGAACAGTGCCAAAACATATAAGTATTATATA